ATGTCTCACTTGTTGATGGCTACAATATTCCCGTTCTAATCATGCCAATTGGTGGCACTTTCAACACCAATGGAGGACAATATGATTGCAAAGTGTCTGGAGGATGTGTGGATAACTTGAGCTCAACCCTTTGTCCACCCCCGCTTCGGGATATTAAGGTAAAGTTGCATAAGAGATAGATCTCTAGCTTCTCTAAATAGAATAAGATATTCCTTTAATAGATTTACCTTTTAGAACGGAAACATTGTCGCCTGTATGTCGGCTTGTGAGGCTTTCAACACTGATGAGTACTGTTGCCGGTTGGTGGTTAATTCTAAAGAGAGATCTAGATCTAGATGAAGGTCTAGATCAAGAGCTAGATCAAGATCAAGATCAAGACCTAGATCTTGATCTAGATCTAGATCTAGATCTAGATATTAGCTTTCAATCATTCAGCTTATTTATCTAAAAATTTCCCTTTCAGTGGAGCTCACGGAACTCCAGACACTTGCCCGCCCAATCAATACAGTCAACTCTTCAAGGTGAGGATAAAGCCACAGGATTGATCTAAATAAATCTAGTTTTAAATTGATTAACTATCAAGATCTATTCTGTTTTAGAAAGCCTGCCCTGGTGCATACAGTTATGCGTATGATGATCACACATCGACCTACTTCTGCCGGGGAAACAATGGACCAAGCCCCGCCTACACCGTTCAATTCTGTTAGATATCTTGTGCATAAATTTTCAACCATCTGAAACAAAGTACTAGTAATAAACTGTTTTGAACATATATCAAAACCAAAAACAATTAGAAGAACTAGTCATAGCCAGGACACTGGACACTGGACAGGTTTCCGCATTAATCTGGTTGGGATCAAGATTGGTAGAACCTGGTCTAACGTAAAACTGACCTGGTTTAGCCCTTGCCTGTTTTATAAGGCTTACCAGTAGACGCTGTTCTTTAATTAGCTTGAAACGGGTCTGAAACGGCTGTGAAACTTAGTGCTAGGCTGAAATCTAAGCCTAAACTTAGCTCCGGGAACCGGCTGAGATCCAAAAAATGGGGGTTTAGCCCAAACCCAAATAGACTTAGTGCGAGGCGCTAGCCGCTAGCCTTCGCACTAAGTCCAAGCCTGTCCTTCCCTAGCACTAGGTCTGAAATCAAAGCAAAGTTCCTGTTTGACTATGATTCGAATTCGAACATTTACATGCCAAAGTCAATTCCAAAACAGTTAATAAAGAGCAACTGTAGACCTGGGTAGGTCAGGGTGAATCTAAACCTAGTTTAGTCTAGACCTAGCCTAGTCTAGACCTAGCCTAGTCTAGACCTAGCCTAGTCTAGACCTAGCCTAGTCTAGACCTAGCCTAGTCTAGACCTAGCCTAGTCTAGACCTAGCCTAGTCTAGACCTAGCCTAGTCTAGACCTGGTCTAGCTCAACCCTAGTTCCAGACCAGATTTGAGCGCAAACCCGTCCAATTCTACAAGAAAAAAGGCGCCATTTGATTTTGTTTATTTTTGCGGACGCCCCTTTCCACATACAATTCTCCTATTTCCTCTTGCTACTTTTTCGCATTTGCCAATTCAGCAGGCTACACTCATTTTCGCAACCTTTTCGCCAACTCACCATCATTTATGTTTCAAGTTTTAATTGGGTTTTGAGTTTAAATAAATCTAGAAATTGCTATTGCTAATGGAAAAACATGATTGCATCTGACATGACTTTGAATATTACGAAAGTAGAAAAAGGAGGTAGCTCAGCTAATGTCTGGCTTTCTGTCTGGATTAGAATTTGGGGTTAGAATCAACCCTGATATTCAGAAAACAAATCAGACAAACGCCTAACTTTGTAGTCTTGAAACTGAGCTAGGTTGGCTGAGTCTGGTCAAGACTGGCTGAGTCTGAACTAGCCTGGCTGAGTCTGATCTAGGCTGGCTGAGTCTGATCTAGGCTGGCTGAGTCTGATCTAGGCTGGCTGAGTCTGATCTAGCCTGGCTGAGTCTGAACTAGCCTGGCTGAGTCTTATCTAGGCTGGCTGAGTCTGATCTAGCCTGGCTGAGTCTGAACTAGCCTGGCTGAGTCTTATCTAGGCTGGCTGAGTCTGATCTAGCCTGGCTGAGTCTGAACTAGCCTGGCTGAGTCTGATCTAGGCTGGCTGAGCCTGGCACGAACCAGGGTTGATTCTGGGAAGATGGGTGATTTTTTGAGATATTTAACTCCCTCCCTCTCGGGTAAGAGGTGCCTTGTGGTGTAATGGTTAGTACAGTTGTCCGATGGTTAGTACAGTTGTCCGATGGTTAGTACAGTTGTCCGATGGTTAGTACAGTTGTCCGATGGTTAGTACAGTTGTCCGATGGTTAGTACAGCGAAAGGTCGCAGGTTCGAGTTCCGGGTGCACACGAGTTTTTGATTTTTCCTAGTTTCAACTCCTTCCTTGGTCGCCAGTTGGAACTAGGGCAGATCAAAAATCCATTCGCCGCCGGGACTCGAACCCGCAACCTTTCGCTTACGGTGCTAACCATTACACCACACGATTTTTCCTTACTCCAGAGGGAGAGAGTTAAATTTATGTCTCAAAAAATCACCATCTTCTCTACTTTAATTTGCTACCCAAGCGCACAGAAACAAAAATTGACATTGGCTTAGTTTTCCAGTTGAAAACTTAGAATGAATTAACGAGCTATTGAAGAATTACCGTATTCTCTCTAATAGAGGCGCACTCTTTAATAGTAGTGCACTCTCTAATAGTATTGCGGTCCAGGAGGGGGTTCAAAAAATAGTAGTGCACCCCAGAAAATTTGAATTTCTGTTTGCTTCTTTTTCATCTAAACCTTTTTGACTTTATGTTTATGTGACATTCTAAAGCTATTTAAGCAAGCAAAAGTGAGGCTTTTTTTTATTCATTTATTAACTATTCTTCACATGAAAAAGTTAGCAAAAAATCTAAAATTGTTGTGCAAAGTGCAAAAACATCTTTTTGTTGTTTGTCAAGACACAAATAATACTTGTGCCACGTGCAACGTCGCCCAATCACGTGTCGTCCAACTTCGGTAGGTCCGTGCAAAGTCAAGGCGCTGCTTCCGGTGCTTAGAATTTGTCAGAGGTTTACGGGCAGCCCTTCTTGCATATAATCCAGCTTGATTTAATCGTCGTCTGATCGTTTCCGGCGATACAGCCTTGTTAAATTTGGCCTTTTGGCCTTGACCTCATCATTTGGCTTCCATCGGTTGATGTTTTGTTAGGATCGTTTTTCACTCGCCGGCCCACAACTGTATGTCAAAAGAAGCCAAAGGAGTACGTGAAAGAATTGCAAGAATTTTTGGAATAAAGTTTATATCTGTCTTAGATTGGGACTAAACTGGCCAGCTTTAATAAATGACAAAACTCTTTAATAGTAGTCTAATAGTATTGCGGTCCAGGAGGGGGTTCAAAAAATAGTAGTGCGCACTACTATTAGAGAGAATACGGTAAATGCTTATGATGCCCGGAGATAAGAGCTAAAACACTTTCCACAAGAGTTATAAGACTCTTTTTCTTTAACTTCTGCTATCAAGACTACTGGGAAGGGTAAGGTATGCTATGGTTTTGTAAAGAAAAACTATCATATTAAAAAAAAAACTATTTAAAACGATTTCCAATAAAAGAATATCAGTGTGGATTCTGCAAGAATGAAGCTACTTTTTTCACACTTTCCCCTTCCCCCTTTTTTTCACCCAAATGAAACCCCGAGACTCTTGCGGTCATTTTATACATTTCATAAACAAAATGAAAAGCAAAAAAACGCGACTTTATCGCAAACGATTGGCTGCAGATAAAGCAGCTAGCCGAAACGTTCGTAGCACAGCTAAAGTTTTCTTTTCGTTAAAGCTTTTTAGATTTTTTTGAATGGCAGTTATTGTTTTCATCTGGAATCGCAGACTTTTCAAATGACTGAACAAAAAGTGACCGGTCGTGTCTAGGAGCGGGGAAAAGGGATCAACGAGGAGAAGGACGATTTTTTTTTTTTGTCCTTCTCCTTACTTCTCCTTTGATGCCCATTTCTTGCACACACAGCTGTGGTCATCCTTTTGATCGGAGTTGTTTAAAGCAACAGAAAAAGAAAAGAAGCTATAGGCAAAGAAGCATCACCATCTACATACATGAGAGGCGATTCCTAAAAAAAAAACAATCTTTTTATCGGTGACCTTTCGGGGGAATCGTCTCGATCAGAGCGATCTCAAAAGAAAAAAAACATTATCCAGAAAAGACAGATCTGATTTGTGATTGGCGATTGGCGATTTGCGATTTGCGATTTGCGATGAAAAGCCATTTCTTTTGCTTTCAAACTCTTCCAAATGTGAAGAATTTTTCTTCTTTTATGAATCAACTTTACCCGGAGCAATGTTCAAACTAAAATGGAAATCCCATAAAGAAAACCAAAAATCCCATGAAAATGACCTTTCAATGAGACAACTGTTGCGTGTTCGCCCAATTTTTTTTCCATTCATCTCAACTTTTTAAGGCTAACGACGGATAGCATAAAAGCCCATGGAAAATCCGAGTCTCATACAAAGCTTAGCACTTTTCCTTTTTTCATAATTTACTTTTCATTTAGCATTCTTGGATGTTGACTAGCTGGCTTTGACTAGTTGGCTGGCTTTGACTAGTTGGCTGGCTTTGACTAGCTGGCTTTGACTAGCTGGCTTTGACTAGACAAATTCTAGACAAATTAGATCAACTGGACAAACCCTGGACCAACCTTGGACCAGATCCTGACTTGCAGCCGGCCGATCTTGGACTTAGACTTAGTAGTCGACTTGGCTTAGTCCTGTCTAGGCTAGCAGGCTCCAACTTATTTAATTGTCTGAATTATCAATATTCAATTGTATTATTCAATTGTCTTTAAATCTTTTACCAATCTATGTGAGGAAAAGAGATTATAAGCGCTAGAGTGTTCTCCATGATGTACTTTGTGCTTTTAACGTAAACATCCGTTCCTAGCGCACAAATTCCTTCCAAAATCTTCCATTTTCCAGTTAGAATGCTCCGTTTAACGCTTCTTTTGGCCGTTGTTGGCTCAGCTGCTTCTCAATGTTCGAGTGATGGGAATAGTGTCTGTATTAATGTGAGTTTTAAAGAGGAAAAGATAGATAATAGATCTTGAAAAGATTATAACTATACCAGCAACGAATAAACAAGATGCACGAGTAATGCAAGAGCATAAACATAAACCAAACATAATAATTAAATAAATTTGTGACGTACAACAGTGACTATTTGTAACAGTGACAATGAATACTGCTTTTAAAAATCTATAGAATTTACTTCTAGGCCAGGAGGCCAAAAACGACCAATATCCTTGAGAATTTGCTCAAATGCGTCCGGGCGCCAGAGTCCTTCAGCAATCCATGACTCAATCATGTGTTTGTGGGTTCCATGACGAAATCGATTGCTATCTTTCGCCAGAAGGTCGCCAGAAGGTCGCCAGAAGGTCGCCAGAAGCGTTCTATTGTTTGCTTATGGATAGTCGTATCTTTCGGATCCAAAAAATTCACGCTATGATTTACCCATCCCCCAGTGTATTGTTTGTCGTTCGCCAAAGGGCGGTATGCTTTCCATCCATCGGAAAGAATATGAGAACCTGGCGCAATAAAGCGATGGATTTCTCTAATGACTCCGAGGATCGATCAGGCACAATGGCGGCAAAATATGATTTCGTTTCACGGCATATACCGCCAAATACCCACTTTTCCGGTACGATTCTCCCTTTGTGGTTTTTCCTCTTTGCAATTAGCGTCTCATCAATTTCAACCGTGAGTCCAGGGCCCCCAATTTGTCCTTGCTGCTTTCTTGATACAATCCAAGCGCATACTTGGCGCATATACTTATTCCAATCAACCGTTGTGTTATTGGCCCATCCCAATTCGTCTCTGAGAAAATCAATCGAGTGATGTCCAGAGCTCAAAATCGACAAATAGTTGACCAGTTCATGGAATGGGCGGTGTGAAAGAGAAAAAAAATTGTTTACTTTCATGCCTTTATTGCTTTATTTCCTTTGGCTCGTTCACGAATACACTTGTCACACTCCCAACGATAAACATTCTTCTCCTTACTGCGAATCTTCATTTTACGACCACATCCAGATGCCGGTGCTGCAAGGATTCCTGCTTGAACAAAAATATCAATCGCATCACGCTCGGAAAGCGCGCTCACCTCAGAATATCGCATTCTGAAAAAAAAAAACTTTTGATAGTATCCTAGTTGGGGGACCACTTTTTTCTTCAAAACCACATGTGGGTTGGGCATCTGCCGGACCCACAGCAACACATAAAACTACCTCAAAAAATGGTTTTGCAGAAAAAAAATGACCCGCCAACTAGGATATTATCAACATTTCTAATAATGACATAAAAAAATTTTGTAGAAGTTACGTTTTTGATCGAGTATAATCAAGTAATCACCTCAATAAATTGAATATCTTTACATTTGAAGGGAATTTGCCATCAAATCACTTAAGCGGCTGAATATCTTTAAAAGGGGTCGTGTATAACGTATATAAAATTTTACCCCCTGGATATTGAAAGACCCCCCCCCCCCGGATACTCCACAAGTACCGAGGATCATCTATTACTTATCCATTTTTCTATATTCATTTCAGATTTACAACAAATGTCCTTTCACGATTTGGCCCGGTGTTCAGGGATCTTTCGTTCCAAATGGTGGTGGCTTTAAATTGAATGGAGGAGAGTCGAAGGTACTTAAGGGATTAGATAATCTATTAGGGATCAGATAATCTATTTATCAACTAAGTTCTCTAATTTCTGAATTGAATTCAAAATTCTATCATTTTCTGATCAACGGTTGAGTCTGACGAAAAAAAATGAACGGCAAACTGATAAGGAATCGTTTTTTGAGAAGAAATTTGAGAAGAATCTTCAAAAATTGATCTCAAAAGATGAAAACTAGAGAAAAGATATAACTAAATAGATCTACTATATAAATATTCTCTTATCTATTATCTTAAAATCTAGAAATTCTCTATATTTTTAGCAACTCCGTGTCCCGAATGGATGGGAATCAGCACGGATTTGGGCAAGAACTGGATGTGATGGAAATATGAATTGTAAAACGGGAGATTGTAGGGGAAATGTGGGTTTGGATAGGGAAATAGAGAAGATTAGATGGTAAAGAAGATGATAGAGAAGATAATGAAAAAGATAATAAAAAATTTGAATAGAATTTAAGTATATCTTTAGACTGAACAATGCAATGGGCGTGGAGGAGTTCCGCCAGTTTCCCTTGCTGAATTCACCCTCAATGGAACTGGGGCACAGGTGAGATAATATTCAGGAAAATGGTTGGGTTGAACGGTAGTTTGAATGACAGATTAGTGCTGAATACTATGTAGTGGATATTACTTGTTAGACTAGTACTGCTAGTATTGTTCTAACGAATTCTCCTCAATAACTGCTCTAAAACGTCTCCTGACTACCATAATCGTTCTAAAGAGTGTCCCAATTACCCTAACCGCTCTAAAACGTATCCAATTACCGTAACCGCACGATCCATCTATAAATTTTGACTCTAACTCGTCCTTGTCTCTATATTACAAACGGTTAGAGGCTTCAGGATACTGGATTTTGAGCAATGATCGATCAATCAATGAATCATCAACCAACCATTCATTCCAGGATTACTATGATGTCTCTCTTGTTGATGGCTACAATATTCCCGTTCTAATCATGCCAATTGGTGGCACTTTTAACACCAATGGCGGGGCATATGATTGCAAAATGGCTGGAGGATGTGTGGATAACTTGAGCTCAACCCTTTGTCCACCCCCGCTTCGGGATATTAAGGTAAAGTTACATAAAAGATAGATCTATAGCTTCTCGAAATAGAATAAGATATTCCTCTAACATATTTTCCTTTTAGAACGGAAACATCGTCGCCTGTAAGTCGGCCTGTGAGGCTTTCAAGACTGATAAGTACTGTTGCCGGTTGGTGGTTAAATCTAAAGAAATATCTAGGTCTAGATCAAGATGAAGATCAAGAACTAGACCTAGATCTAGATCAAGAGCTAGATCAAGATCTAGATCTAGATCTAGGTCTAGTTCTTGATCTAGATCTAGGTCTAGTTCTTGATCTAGATCTAGATGTTAGCTTTCAATCATTCAGCTTATTTATCTAAAAATTTCCCTTGCAGTGGAGCTCACAACACTTCAGACACTTGCCCGCCCAATCAATACGGTCAACTCTTTAAGGTGAGGATAAAGCCACAGGATTGATCTAAATAGATCTAGCTTTAGATTGATTAACTATCAAGATCTATTCTTTTTAGAAAGCCTGTCCTGGTGCATACAATTATGCGTATGATGATCGCACATCGACCTTCGTCTGCCGGGGAAACAATGGACCAAGCCCCGCCTACACCGTTCAATTCTGTTAGATATCTTGTACATAAATTTATCGATCTGAAACTATAACTATAAATTACAAATTCATCTATCTTTAAACTATCTGAAACAAAGTACTAGTAATAAACTGTTTTGAACATATATCAAAACCAAAAACAATGAGAAGAGCTAGTCATAGCCTTGGCACTGGATATTGGACAGGTTTCCGCATTAATCTGGTTGGGATCTAGCCTAGTCTAGACCTAGCCTATTCTAGACCTAGCCTAGTCTAGACCTAGCCTAGTCTAGACCTAGCCTAGTCTAGACCTAGCCTAGTCTAGACCTAGCCTAGTCTAGACCTAGCCTAGTCTAGACCTAGCCTAGTCTAGACCTAGCTGGCTGATCCTGATCTGGTGAAGACTGGCTGATCCTGACACGAACCAGGGTTGATTCTGATCTCAAATTGCAATTCAGACACTCAATGCCTAGCTATGACTATTATTATGAATAATAGCTGAGCATTGAAGCCTTAGGCTATTGGGTTTAACTCTAAAACAATCCTAAAGCTCTCTCAATTCTTATTCATAGTTGTAAATAACGCAGTGACATAATTGGATCGATGAAGGCATTGCCTTAGGCATCGATGCCAAAAAACCATCTGCAATCCATCTGCAATCACATGGTTTCAAATTTCTCGTTTGTTTATTTTGTCTCTTTTCCTTTCATTTGATCGAAATTTGATTGATTTTCGTGAATCAAAAGAAAATTTAGTTTAAAAATGGGTTTTTTATTGCTGTCTCTTATTTTGCTTGGCTTATTTTCAAGAATTGAAATCGAAGCGTCGCCTGTATTTAAACTAGAAGAGAGAAATCCGTATGTTGACTTGAGCTTTTACTTGGCTGTACTTTGTGCTCGAAAACCATCCTTTCTAGAGCACTGAATCTTTCATAGAACTAGGGAATTGAGTGGAGGGATTTGAGTGGAGGGAATTGAGTGAAGGGATTTGAGTGGAGGGAATTGAGTGGAGGGAATTGAGTGGAGGGAATTGAGTGGAGGGAATTGAGTGAAGGGATTTGAGTGAAGGGATTTGAGTGAAGGGATTTGAGTGAAGGGATTTGAGTGGAGGGAATTGAGTGAAGGGATTTGAGTGAAGGGAATTGAGTGACCAGAAGGAGTGTGTTTTTAACGTTTAAGTCAAAGTAAACCCCCTTTTACAGCGAAGGAGTTTACTTCAAAAAGGCTCTGAGAAGCTCTGAGAAGTTCTGAGAAGTTCTGAGAACTCTCTGAGAACTCTCTGAGAAGCTCTGAGAAGCTCTGAGAAGCTCTGAGAACTCTCTGAGAAGCTCTGAGAAGCTCTGAGAAGCACAAAGTACAGTCCACCTTAATAGCTGTATGGCTAAGACGTACTGTACTATACTGTTTACGTACAATGAAGTCACTTTCAAATCGATCTTTCAGTGTCCGTCTTTCTATTGATGGCTACTGGCTTCTCCCGGATGAGTTACTCAATGGAACTGGTCTTTTTTTTCGTAAAAAAACAATTGTTACAGTACAATTCTAGTTTCTCTTGACGATTTGAAAGTCTACGTCAAAAATGAACAAGGTGTGAAGAGGCGAGTTCATTGGAAAGCTGCTCATCATGAACAAGGTAAGTTTTGGAAAGGGTATTGTAGGATTTCCTGAATACGACGGGCTTACTGTAAGGTTTCCAGATACTGTAGGGATACTGTAGGGTTTCCTGGATACTATAGGCTTACTGTAAGGTTTTCCAGGCACTGTAGAGTTTCCCAGGTACTGTAGGGATACTGTAGTATTTCCTGAATACTATAGGCTTACTGTAAGGCTTTCCAGGTACTGTAGGGGTACTGTAGGGGTACTGTAGGGTACTGTCGGGATACTGTAGGGTTTCCTGGATACTATAGGCTTACTGTAAAGTTTCCCAGGTACTGTAGGTTTCTATAGGGTTTAAAATGATCCACAAAGTCCCACTTTACTTAAAGCACTTATAAAAAACTTTATAATTACTTATACAACTTATAATACTGAAAATAAAGCCAAAAATCTCTTTTAGTTGAAAAAGTTTACACAATTTTCGCAAAATTGGACATCACGAGCGATGACGAGAGTCTGGAGATTCGTGTGGAAAAGGAGGGGATAAAGAGTGAAAGTTGGTGAAAGATTGGGTCTCAATTAAGACTTGGAATCAAAATGTGATAGTTGATCACTGTTTACAGCCGTTCATCTCCAACTCACTCCCGCTTTTTTCAATGGAACGGCGTTAAATGGAAAGAGTTTCTCTCAAAATCTTAGCTTTAATATCATTCGAAAGAAGAGATTGTTGACGTCGGGACGTAGGTGTTTAACTTTTGACTTTTAATTAAGCTGTTAATTAAGCTTTTAACTAAGCTTTAACTGGGCTTTTAACTAAGCTTTAACTAAGCTTTTAACTAAGCTTTAACTGGGCTTTTAACTAAGCTTTAACTAAGCTTTTAACTAAGCTTTTAACTAAGCTTCTAACTAAGCTTTAACCAAGCTTTAACTAAGCTTTAACTAAGCTTTAACTAAGCTTTGAACTAAGCTTTTAACTAAGCTTTTAACTAAGCTTCTAACTAAGCTTTAACCAAGCTTTAACTAAGCTTTAACTAAGCTTTAACTAAGCTTTAACTAAGCTTTAACTAAACTTTTAACTAAGCTTTAACTAAGCTTTAACTAAGCTTTAACTAAGCTTTAACTAAGCTTTGAACTAAGCTTTTAACTAAGCTTTTAACTAAGCTTCTAACTAAGCTTTAACCAAGCTTTAACTAAGCTTTAACTAAGCTTTAACTAAGCTTTAACTAAGCTTTAACTAAACTTTTAACTAAGCTTTAACTAAGCTTTAACTAAGCTTTGAACTAAGCTTTTAACTAAGCTTTTAACTAAGCTTCTAACTAAGCTTTAACCAAGCTTTAACTAAGCTTCTAACTAAGCTTTAACCAAGCTTTAACTAAGCTTTAACTAAGCTTTAACTAAGCTTCTAACTAAGCTTCTAACTAAGCTTTAACTAAGCTTTAACTAAGCTTTAACTAAGCTTTAACTAAGCTTTAACTAAGCCTCTAACTAAGCTTTAACTAAGCTTTAACTAAGCTTTTAACTGAGCTTTTAACTAAGCTTTTAACCAAACTCTAACCAAACTCTAACCAAACTTTAACCAAACTTTAACTAAACTTTAACAAAACTTTAACCAAACTTTAACCATATTTTCAAATGCAGGCAATGGAGAGTGCCACTGTGTGGAAAAGAATTGTGCTTGCTGCCAGGAAATCGTTTTTCCAAACTTCAATCATGGTGGTGAGTAGAATTGAAAGATAAAAGCTAGAAAAAGAGAAACAGTATAGTACAGTACGTCTTAACGATACGACTTTTAAGATAGACTGTACTTTGTGCTTCTCAAAGCTTATCAGAGCTTCTCAGAGAGTTCTTAGAGCTTCTCAGAGAGTTCTTAGAGCTTCTCAGCTAAGAAAAGCTAGAAAGGAGCTAGATTTAGCTAAAATCTTAAGCGCTATTTAGTTTGTGTGAACATCTCGTACAATCCACTCACAATCGGGATGGATCTCTCAATTGGCGTTGATGGGCATTATTATACGTATGAAATCTCAGGTAAAGCTAGAGATTTATGCCATAATATAATTCTAAAAAGCAATCAATTTACAATGCTTAATGCTTTGAATGCATTAAAGCAATTGCATTAAAGCATTAAAGCATTAAAGCAATGCTTTCAGCCCGTAATCCGCCACCAATTTGTCTTGATTTCCCTTATACAAGAGAGGTTCTTTCACTGTGCATTGCGTTTGAAGAGGTCAGTTTATACTAACAAAAACATCTGTCAGCTGTCAGCATCTCTGTCCTTTTCCCGCTAAAGTTTTATCATGTTCTAAAGTTTTTCATGTTTTTCTCAGCACAAACCCATCGCTTTTGCCTATTTAGATTCTCATTTGATGCAGAATCAAATTGCGCATCGATTGACACCAAAATGAACTCAAAATTGAATATCTATGCAAAGTTATGAGTCAAAAACCAAACCCCGTCCCTTATTGGCCTTTTGCGATTGGCGAGCGTCGGTTTTTCGTCTTTTTCTTAGCACCTAGGCCTTAATTCTGACTGTTTGAACTATCATTCGATCGAGAACAAAATTGCGCATCGATTGATACCAAAATGAACTCAAAATTTAATATCTATGCAAAGTTATGAGTCAAAAGGTTAGCTCAGCCTATTATGGGCGAGATTTGGGTTAAGTAACGAACGGGGTTCATCTCTTTAGCCAATAAAGTTTTTAGCTAGTTTTTTTAGCCAATAACTTTGCATAGATATTAAATTTTGAGTTCATTTTGGTATCAATCGACTCGCAATTTCATTCTGCATCAAATGATAATCTAAATAGGCAAAAGCGATGGGTTTGTGCTGAGAAAAACATGAAAAAGCTTAAATTCCCGATAAAAGAACCGAGAGATATTTTCGTTACAAGTTTATTTTGTACCTTACTCAAAAACGCTCTAACTAGTCCACTTTCTAAAAGATACCTTTTTAAAAACTATTGTAATCCACCATCATTCGATCAGCCTAATTTTGACATCATTCAACAAGGCTGACAAGGTTGTCGAAGGCTGACAAGGTTGTCAAGGCTGACAAGGCTGTCGAAGGCTGACAAGGTTGTCGAAGGCTGACAAGGTTGTCGAAGGCTGTCAAGGCTGTCGAAGGCTGACAAGGCTGACAAGGTTGTCGAAGGCTGACAAGGTTGTCGAAGGCTGACAAGGTTGTCGAAGGCTGTCAAGGCTGTCGAAGGCTGACAAGGCTGACAAGGTTGTCGAAGGCTGACAAGGTTGTCGAAGGCTGACAAGGTTGTCGAAGGCTGTCAAGGCTGTCAAGGCTGTCAAGGCTGTTGAAGGCTGACAAGGCTGTCGAAGGCTGACATGGCTGACATGGCTGACATGGCTGACAAGGCTGACTCAGTCAATGAAATCAAAATTGAGCTAATTGAATGAAACTAGAGCTAGTTTTTGTAAAGCTATCTCTTTTAGAAACAGAAGTAATCAAAAATTTCAGATAGATTTAACGAGAAAGCATTTGGCTGGTTGTGTCGAGCTTGAAGCTGAGTTGATCCATCTGAGAGTGCTACGGGAGAAGCTTGGCTGCTTCGATATTCCGATTTGATCGGGAAAAGCTCGGAAATTGCTTGGAAAAGGAATCTAATCTATCTATTAATGCAAAATTTCTCTATTTTATTAAATATAATAAATTTACTTAATATTTGATGGGAATTTGATGGAAATTGATGGAAATTGATCGAAATTTTATTTCTAACAATTGCAAGAGTAATCAAATTGAAATTGAATTGAAAAAAAAGAGTAATCAGTTTCATTGTTTCTTTTATAACTAGTATTCTGAATAAAAAAACAGTAAAGTTGTATAGTTTTGAGTAAATAATAATAGATATGTTGTGTTCGATTTAGATTTCCGTTTGATTTAGATTTCCGTTTGATTTAGATTTCCGTTTGATTTAGATTTCCGTTTGATTTAGATTTCCGTCCGATTTAGATTACATAGACTGTAATCAATAAAAGACCTTTGAAAAATGCAGAAAACTACAGAAAACTACAGAAAACGCTTAAGAACATATATTAAGCATGTTTATATTATTGTTCAATCTATCTAAGATTTAGATTGAATCTAAATCGGACGTCCTATATAGACTGTGATCTAAATTGGAGGTCCGATATAGACTGTAATCTAAATCGGACGTCCGCGATAAGTTCAATCTAAATCGGACACAACAGATATAATAAGATGAAGAAGAAGAAGAAGAAGAATAAGAATAAGAAGAATAATAAGAATAATAAGAATAATATCATTGTGGTAGCAAACGATCATCAAATTCATCAAAACTGTCTTCTTTCGTGCGGCGAGCGCCAGTTTTTGGCCGAGCAGCCGTCGGTCCTAATGGATCAAGATAGGAGAAATCGAGATCTTCTAAAATCTACTATATATAAAGCAGAAGAGCCGTCTGTCTCTCTGTCTCTCTGTCTCTCTGTCTGTCTGTCTGTCTGTCTGTCTGTCTGTCTGTCTGTCTGTCTGTCTGTCTGTCTATCTATCTGTCTGTCTGTCCCTCTGTCCCTCTGTCTGTCTGTAAGATCAATTTTGAAAAGAAAAGCAAAACTAGTTTTCTCAGAGGAGGATCGAACCCACGAGCCCTCTTTCCCCTCTTTCCCACTCTCGTTTAAGACACACGCGCTCTAACCACTAGACCAGCCTGCGCACGGAGGGAAAATTAGACAACATTGGGCTCGGCTAGTTTTGTAGTTTTCGCAGTTTTTAAAAAAATTGATCAAGATATCATCTAAACTCAAATTTGAATTCAAATCCAGATCCAGAAGTTTTTTGCAGTGTTTATGATCGTATTATGACTATGGATCCCTTCCGTTTTCTAAAGGTAGCTTGGAAATCAAATCCATCGTCAGATCCTGTTCCTGATCTTGGAAAACTTCCGTAATCCTCTCGTCAGGCTGTCCTAATCTTGGAAAACTTCCATAATCCATCGTCAGATCTTCTTAATCCATAATCCATCGTCAGATCATCCAATCCTCCCGTCAGGTTGTCCTAATCTTGGAAAAGCTTCCATAATCCTCCCGTCAAGCTATCCTGATCTTGGAAAAGCTGCCGTAATCCTCCCGTCAAGCTATCCTGATCTTAGAAAAGCTGCCGTAATCCTCCCGTCAAGCTGTCCTGATCTTGGAAAACTTCCATAATCCATCGTCAGATGTCCTGTTCTATTTAATTTTTATCTAATTCCATTGACAACTTGAATTTTCATCAAATGAGATTAAAATTAAGTGAATCCAACAAAATCTAAAGGAAAGACTATGGTAGTTTTCACAAATTCAAGAAAAAGACCTAGCAGAAGAGTTGCTGATTAAAGCAGAAGAGCTGCTGATCGATTTAAACTCTTCAACTCACTTCAATCGATTTAAACTCTTCAACTCACTGGGATCCTTTGTCATCGGTCGATATTCAGGATTCGTTTCATCAAAGACAAACGGTTGCGCGCTGTTCATTCGAAGAGATGAACGAGAGGTGGGACGATCCGCTGAATAAGGAGGGAATTTGGATTGAATTTGGATTGAATTTGGATTGAATTTGGATTGAATTTGGATTGAATTTATAGTTTTCTATTTATAGTTTTCGATCTTTAATCAATTTCAGTTTTTACTCAAAAACTAGTAGATGATTTTGGGAATACAAAATACTATTTAATATTGCTTTTTCTGCTCATCAAAGCGTCTCCCTTTCTTCTCATCTATCTCCTCTACATTTCAATCTTTTCAATCACTTGTTTTGAGCAAAATTTACACATTTAATTCTACTTTTTAGTGTTTTGAATTGGAGAATGAATTGCTCGGAAGAATTTCAGAAAATTTCAAATGAAACTGGAAGTGTGGAAGGAGTAGTTTCCTCTAAAATTTATAGATTTCTAGAAAATCCAGTTTTCTCATCACTCGATAAGCCATTCTAAATAGTTTATCTTTTAAAGATGATTACAAAAGTCAAGATCAAGAGGATCAAGAAGATCCGCGAACGAGTGCGACATAACAACAAGCAGCGAAAAGCCCAGCGAATGGCAGCGTCCCAGCGAATGGCAAATTCATCAAAATGGCCAAATTCGATGGGGATTTCAAAGGGATCAATGGGCACAATTGTTAAGAAAGAAAAAGAAAAAAAGAAAGTAGTTTTTAAGAAAAGGAAAAGGCTGTCGAAGGCTGACAAGGCTGACAAGGCTGAGATGGCTGACATGGCTGTCATTGCTGACATGGCTGACATGGCTGACATGGCTGACAAGGGTGTCGAAGGCTGACAAGGCTGTCGAAGGCTGACAAGGCTGACAAGGCTGAGATGGCTGACATGGCTGTCATTGCTGACATGGCTGACATGGCTGACATGGCTGACAAGGGTGTCGAAGGCTGACAAGGCTGTCGAAGGCTGACAAGGCTGACAAGGCTGTCGAAGGCTGACAAGGCTGACAAGGCTGTCGAAGGCTGACAAGGCTGACAAGGCTGAGATGGCTGACATGGCTGTCATTGCTGACAAGGCTGACATGGCTGACATGGCTGACATGGCTGACAAGGCTGTCGAAGGCTGTCGAAGGCTGACAAGGCTGACAAGGCTGTCGAAGGCTGACAAGGCTGTCGAAGGCTGACAAGGCTGACAAGGCTGTCGAAGGCTGACAAGGCTGTCGAAGGCTGACAAGGCTGACAAGGCTGTCATGGCTGTCATGGTTGTCATTGCTGACATGGCTGACAAGGCTGTCATTGCTGACATGGCTGACAAGGCTGTCATTGCTGGCATGGCTGACATGGCTGTCATTGCTGACATGGCTGACAAGGCTGTCATTGCTGACATGGCTGACAAGGCTGTCATTGCTGACATGGCTGACAAGGCTGTCATTGCTGACATGGCTGACAAGGCTGTCATTGCTGACATGGCTGACAAGGCTGACAAGGCTGTCGAAGGACAAAGATTTTGAGATTTGGACACATGAAAACTATAAAACTAATATTTAAAGTGATTTCAGATTCAGCCAAATAAAAAGTTAAATGTAAATTTTAAGTACAATTCATTTATATAGTGCGCAGTCTTTTTTTTTGATCTGTCTTCGCACTTAGGCGGTGCGCTGTGTTCCTATTTGCGCAGATCACAGCCTGCTTCCATATTTCTCTATCCCTTGCCATTGTCATCCAGTGTTTCCTATCTTGATTGCTCCTGGTTCGAACTTGATTGTTCCTGGTTCGAAGCTGATCTTTTGTATCACTTTTCTTTAGTAAAATTAACACATTTATCAGGTAAATGGATAAGAAATGCGGATTCGAACATTTTCAACATTTTCATAAATCTCCAACGATAAAAACCTGATATCGATGTGATAAACTATTTGAAAGTTGACAATTTGTTGACAATTGAGGGTTTTTGAACTTAAGCTCTATCTAAATCGATCTAAATCTCTCTAAATGCATTTCCATTGTTGCATTAGACATTGTTGCATTGTTTTTTTAATGAATTGATATCTAGTTATCCTCCTTTTCTCTTTAAAATCTTCAATTTTTCTTAAAATCTTCAATTTTTGGGAAGCTAACTCGATTTTGACCACATTTGGTCAAAATCGAGTTAGCCAACGCTAAACGCAATGCATCCACAATCACTTAAAGATCCAATCACTTAAAGATTTTTGTGTTTACATTTGATTTATGTCTACCGTCTGTCTGTCTACCGTATCCTATGCTTAGATCTATTTCTAATACCATTAGACTCACCAGCTGGAACGGGTAGACTTTGCGCCGAGTGAGCCGATCGTTTACCTTGACTCGAGTCGGCGTCGCGTTGCATTCGGAGCTGGCGGACCTACAAGATATAGGGAAATAGAAAAGCCATTGATTCCCAATGATTTTCGATTACGCTAGCGCTATTTAGAGTCCTAGAGTCATCATTTCTCAGTGATTCTTTCCAGTAACCCTCAACGTAAGCTCTTACAATAATCTGGATCCTTTACCACAGTAATCCCTGTATAATCTTACAGTAGCTCTTCACGTGTACAGTAATGCCTACAGTAATCCTCTACAGTAATCCCTACAGTTATCCTCTACAGCAATCCTCTACCATTATCCCTACAGCCATCCTCTACAGTAACCCTCTACAGTAATCCCTACAGTAACCCTCTACAGTAATCCCTACAGTAATCCCTACAGTAACCCTCTACAGTAATCCCTACAGTAACCCTCTACAGTAACCCCTACAGTAATCCCTACAGTAACCCCTACAGTAATCCCTACAGTAATCCCTACAGTAATCCCTACAGTAATCCCTACAGTAATCCCTACAGTAATCCCTACAGTAATCCCTACAGCCATCCTCTACAGTAATCCCTACCGTAACCCTCTACAGTAATCGCTACAGTAATCCTCTACAGTAATCCTCTACAGTAATCCTTCGACATGCCTTCCTTAAAGTAACCTTTCCAGACTTACCTTCTCAGCTTTTTCCAGCTTGTCAACGTACTCTTTCGCCTCAGGCATCCCGAGATCGGTGGTGATTCGAACGAGGAATTTGAGGCCTAAAAGGTTATAGAACGACTGTACACTAGTCTTTTTATCTACAGTAATCCT